CCGGTCCCGGTCCCCCGCCCCCCGAGCCAGGCTGCCACCCGGTCCGGCCGCCCGGAGCTTACCATTGGGTCTTGCTCCTGGGATCCCGCGCGCCGGCCGTTCTGATTGGCCACTGGGGCTTCATTCACGACCCCCCCCTACAGTCAGCGTACACACTCACGCCCCGGGGGCGCGGCTGCCACGTGGGGAGTGGCGCGGGGGTGGCACTGGGACCGCACCCCCTCTGGTCCTGTCTGCGTGGGCCCTGCTTTCCCTTGGTGCAGGAGATCCTGAGCCCGGCCGGTCCCACACTCCGTGCGGGCTGAATTTCCTCCCGGATGCTGCCAGAGTGTCCAGAGACAGCGGCTGGCATTGCGGGCTCCGGGAGGCGCTCCGGCTCCGAGAAGCGGCTCAGTTTGCGCTCCTCCCTTAGCATTGCCGCTGCCAGCAGGTCGGGATTCCCGCCGCTCTTGGCGGCTGCTAGCGGGAGGTGGTTCAGCTCCTCTGCTTGGTTCCGGCACGGCTGCACACCTTGCCTCCCGCGGCTTCCAGCGTGCACAGAGCTCTTCTTCGAGCGCCTCCCGGGACCCGTCTCGGTTTTCCCTTTTCTCCCTTTAGACCCAACACCTCAACTCCTCCAGATTCCCACATGCCTGAGAGTGTGTCCGCGCGGGCCGAGTCGGACCAGCCCCAGCTCCACTCCTTGAGCGGGCACTCCTTTTGCTGGGTACTGCGGTCCAGGTGAGTACCGCATGGGCGGCTGGGGACGGCGGCGGCGGGTGGCAATGTTGCCAAGGGAAGACTGTGTCCGCCCATGTTCTGGGGTTCCAGAATGAGAAGACCTCGAAGTGGAGACGAGGCTCCCGGGTACCTGTCTCTCGCCACGGAAGCTTTTTTGGCCCCTCTCTCCAAGCCTTAAGGGCTCACTGACTGGAGTCACGCCCCGGGAAACTTGCTCTAGGTGAGGGAGAGGTAGACTATGGGAAGGGCGGCTAGCATTTCAGAGTGCAGCAGGGAGCTGTCCAGCCTTACGTCGCTCTCTGGGCTTGAGTTTAGCTGGACTTGCCTGGGGCTGCTGGACAGGGAACTAACTGAGGAGCCTTTTTGAAGAGGTAGGGTGTGGAATATGGGTACTTTTTCATCCCTCCAATTCTTTGAGGACTCCCCAAGGACCCTGAATGGATTTGAACCATCGGATGGCTCTAACCCCACAATGGCCCCAGACTGAGTGGGAGTGAACTGTATGTAGCTTCCCCTCTTCCCTAGACTTGGGGTCTCAGGGAGTCTTCCAGCTGCCAGCCCTACCCCATTTCTCTCCTTGATCTGGGTTCCAATAGATGAAAAGATTCCATTCCAGGGTCTTGGCATCCCAGATTACAGGACTGAGCTGGGGGTGGGGGATGGGGGCCTAGTTAGAGTCACACTGGATAAGTCAGAACTGTGGAATAAAGCCTCAGCTGGAAGTTGTGGGAAGAAAGGTGATTGGGGGTTCAGCTGCAAGTCGCTGGACAGTTGACAGTTGAGAAATATTTTGGGTACAGACTGAGCTCACTGGTCCCCTGAATGGAGTCCTAGGATCAGCCTCTGGCTAGTGCCTAAGGGATGGAGTGGGACAGAGCAGGGTCCTTGGCTGGCCGTTGGCCACTGTCTTGAGCAGGCCCCTCAGGCACCATCCTGCCTGCAGGAGCTGTGATGAGACCTGTGTCTGAATCCATCTAAGGAAGCTGGGTTTCCCTGGACTCTGGTCCTGGAGGTGATCACCTTGAGGCAGCATGAGACTTCCTGGCTCACTCAACTTGCTGGTCCCTTTCCCATGCCCTGGAGGTAGGACCAAAGCTGGGATACCCACAGTGAAGTCTCCTCTCCTGCCAGCCCTCGGCAGTCTTGCATGACTTTGACTCTTGGGTTGCCACACTGGAGCTGCCACTATTTTCTTGGACATAAAGGACTCCGGTCCAGTTGCTCTAGCCCTTGATTTTTCTACCTGTCAATTGGGAATAGCACCAAGGTAAGTCAGAAGGTGGTATGAGAAAATGGGAGTTCAAAGCTCTCAGAAAGGGCTTATTGTTCTAGGTGTTTCGATTGTGATTATCCCATGAATGGGCCAATTTCTCCTCTCTAACTAAATCTCAGTTTCCTCATCTCTAGAGTCAGGTTGCAGAAGTTTCAACCAGTTGAGCTCTGATGGTTTGTGGTTCTGTGAACTTGTCCTGGTTCCTGCTGGAGGAAGAGAAATGTCTGGACCTTAGACAGGTGTTGTGATGTCCAGTCTTTGGAATTGCCACTGAGACCTGAAGACCAAAATCGAATGGGCACAGTGCTTTACAGAATGCTTGAACATTCATCATATCCTCTTTACCCTTAGCCCTGTGAATGAACACTGCAGTCATTACCCTCAGTGCATAGATAAGGAAACAGAGACTTGTCCAAGAGTCCCATTCCTCACTGTTCTCCCTGCTACTTTGTCGTGGGGGAGGGTGCCCGTGGAGGCAGCGAGTTGGGTCACCACAGCAAAGAGCACCAATGACCTTGTCTCTTGTACTTCTTGTGGGGTAGGCCAGAGTCAGCTAGAGCTCCTGAGGCTGTGTTCCCTGGTCTGTGTTGAATTGAGGGGTGTCTGCAGCACAGCAGTAGTTAGACTCCAGTTTACCAGTATGGGTTTGTGAGCCCAGGAAACCTCAATCCCAATGCCATTACCCCCACACCAGCTTTGTGACTATTTGCAAGTTGCTTTTACCTGTCAAGAGCCTTAGTTTCTTTATCATAAAATGGGAACTGGGGACTTCTCAGGATTGCTGTTGAGGTTCCAGGGATGAAATAAACTAGTTGCCACTGAATCCATTTTGACTCATGGCATCTCTATGTGTGTCAGAGTAGAACTGAGCTCCATAATTGTTGTTTTTGTTTTTTTCTTTTTAAACTCCTTATTGTGAATTGAGTGAAGGTTTACAGACAAGTTCATTAGTTTCACATTCAACAAATCATACACTTTGTTTCATTTCAATGATGGCAGTTCCCTCCATGCAACATTTCCTCCCTGTGGTTCCTATTTCCATTGCCCCCTCCTTCCCATCCCTGCTCAACTTTGTCCTTAGGGAATTGTTGCCCTTTTGATTTTGAATGGTGACTGTCCCACCATTCACAGTGAGCAGACCTTACTAGTGTTGTCTCCACAAGATATCTATTTACTGCTTGCCTGAAAGTTGGGTCACAAGGGTGCCCACAGGATTTTTTTTTTTTTTTTTAAAATAATGTTTAATATTCAAATTACATAATACATAGACAGGAAAATCTTTAAAGCATACATTTATAAACAGCAATCCAACAATTGTAAAGTAAACAGGGATCCTGATGTCTCAGTGGTTTAAATGCTCAACATGAAACAAAATGTGAGTCATTTGAACTTGCCAACAGGTCTGAGGAGGAAAAATGTGGCTTCTGTAAAGATTTATAGCCTTGAGAGCTCTATGGGGGCAGTTCAACTCTGTTCAACAGGATCACTATGAGTCAGAATCAACTATAGGGCAGTGGGGTTTTAGTATAACACAAACACCAGTGTAACCTCTAAACTGAATCAAGAATTAGAACAATGCTAGTGCTTCCCAGGGAGTCCTGGTACGGTGATGTAGGGTAAGCACTGGACTGATACACACCAGGTCAGCAGTTCAAACCCACCACACAGGATTTTTAATGACTGTTTTTTTTCAGCAATGGATAGGCTGTTTCTTCTGAGATGCCTTTGGGTGGACACAAACCACCAACCAAGCAGCTGATCGTGTTAACTGTCTACACCACACAGGAACTCCCAAGGATGAAGTAAAGCCTGCTCTCTGAATGGCAGACACTTTTTCTGGGGTGAACAGTAGGGTAGCTGTGCAAACTAGGAAAGAATACAATTCCTGTCTTTGCTTTAGACTCTTCAGACCCTATACAGTGACATGGGCTTAGTCTTAAATCAAAGCTTCCTTATATTTGAGAGCTAAGTCTCCCCCATGACGTTGGAACACCCTCTTTACTCTTGCTCCTGCAGATCCTGTGTGGTACACTGGTGCTACCCCCCCCCCCCCCCGGAGCATGACTCTCATAGTCACTGGGGAGAACTTGTCCTCAGACCCACAACACATAGTCACAGGGGTACCCATGGAGGTTGAAACCTACCGTGTTTGCTGGCACAGAATGGTTCAGACATCTGAACAAATGCATATTCACACACACATCACACAGATAAACAAATGCAACCTAGCACACATTCACAGTAGGGACACGTGGGCGTGCACCATCAGGGCTGATGGCCACAATCCCACACAACGAGAAAGACAGGCATGTGTCTAAACGGGAGAGGCACAAAACTGACAAGTAAGCTGAAATAGGCATTCCTTCACTGACATGGAGATACACGATCCCTCTAGTCCATTGGGGCCACAAATGTGGAGCTGCTTAGCTGGCTGCTGATTCACACACATAGGCACACCCTGGTATTTGCTCACAAAGTGAACCACACACATTCTCAGACCCAGAAGCACACAGATACAAAGAGACACACATACATGTGCACACCCTATAGGAATGAATAGATCCACACAAGGGATCAGAAAGCAGAAGGGCTGTGCCTGAACCAGAGTTTGGTCCTCACACTTCAGCAATGCTAGCTCCAAAGAAGCAGGGAAACCCTTGTCTTCCTCATCCTCCCCCCTCTCCCCCCCAGTTTCCTTGTGTGTGGAGGGAAGTTCCCATCCAGGCCG